CCCATGAAGAGCATCTCCAGCAGCCTCAAGGAGACCATGAACCCCCATGACATTGTCCAAGATGCGATCCACAACTTCTCCCCAGCCTACCAGCAGTACACCCAGCAGTCGACGCTGGAGCATGGTCCACCCTGGCGCAATGGCAGTCACATTATCTCACGCTCCCACAGCTGCTCGGGTGCCCGCGACAATGAGAAGACCCTCTTGCTGAGCTCCGATGATGAATTCTAGGAGGGGAAACTGACAGCACAGGCTGTCATTTTCTTTCTTTTGTTTTTTTATTTTAATTTATTGAAGCAGAAACATGCAAGTCGTATCACTTCCTAGAGAGTTCAGATTGCAGAAATGGGCACTTCCCATTAGCTTTTGTGGATACGGACACGATGGGCAGCATGGAGGTGGAGGAATGGCCAGGACTCCATTCTCGAGCCCATTCCTTACAGCAGCAATTGACTGGAATTAATTGAAGCAAAGCTCCAGGATTTGGGGCTCTGGCCTCCCACAGCTGCCCAGTTTGGTGTGGAGTGTGACTGGCCAGAGCCCAGAGTTGTGGCCAAAAATGTTTTTGTGGGGTTGTTTGTTTGGGGTTTTTTTTTCCAACTGGACAATGTGATTGCTTTGTATTCCTCTTCCTGAATGGTTGGTGTTGGCACAGTTTTCTCCCCCAGCTTCCCGGTACTAACATCTCTGTGATCCTTGGGAAATGGGATTAGGATGCAGTGATAAGCATTCCTGAGGACCAGACCAGAGATTGGTCTCTCTATAGCCATTGCCTTGAATACTTGGTAAAGAACAGCTGCCCCCACCTTCCTCAGCACCTGGTTGTGCAGTCCTCTACTTGAGTGAGCAAGGGAAAAAAAAAAGGACAGGATTTTCTTCTGTTCCTCCATTCCCTGCACCCCCCCTGCTCCCCATCAAAGCAGATGCTTGTTGAAGCTCAGCAGGGATGGTATTACTGTCTCAGAAGGGCAAGGTTTTCTAATCACTGGGTGTCCAAGCTTCCCATCTCCCCTGCATTCCTGTGGCAAGAAGCCTCCCTGGAGCGTCTTGTCTCCTGCTAACAAGATTGAGGACTGGCCCATGATAGGCGGTGGAAGTTTGTAGAGCTCTGGCCTCTTTTACCCCTCTTTGGGAAAGGAAGATATGTAAACACTAAAATGTTTTTTCTTCTTGTTTCCTGTCCCCCCATCAATATAGCTGCCCCTCTTAAAGGTGTGGATTGCACCAGGTAGCTACCAGGGCAGGTCCTGGTCTCTCACAAGTAGCTCTCCCCATGCTTGTCATCACTGACTTCCCCTGTGAGCTGCACAAGTTTTGCCCTTAGGCTGGAGTATTCAGGAAGGGATGTTGCACACTCCTCCTTTGCTTTTTATCTCCACAGCTGTTCTGGGCCAAACTGGAGCAGACTTGAAACCTGACATGACCTGGCTGGTTAAAATTGTCCTTCTTAGTTTCCCAGGCAGCAGTTGCTGCTGCTGCACGCTTCAGAGGCCCTGCAGCAAATGTGATGCTATCAAGGGTGGAATCAGCATCCATGGGAGCAGGAAAAGAAGCTTCCCCTTGCTTTTGTTGGATTTTGGATTGGCCCCTAGGTATTTAGTGGAGCCAAAATAAAAATGATCCCTCTATAGATCTATCCAGGGACCAGGAAATGCCTCTTGCTTGCTTAAAATTTTCTGGGGGAGGAGGGAGAAGCACACTCAAGTGCCACAGAGAAGATGCCCCTACCCCCAAGCAGGATGCAAAATGGAGAGGCTGGAGCAAGCCGCTGTGCTCTTCTCAGCTGTAGTTTCTCTGTTCCTCTCCCACTTGATGCCTACGCTGCCATCAGCAGCCCTGCCCGTTTCCAGGTTGCCCCTCGTTGCTCTGCTAAGAGAACTGGGGGCTGGTTTACTGCCTGGAGTTTACCTTTCCTCTTGTATCTTAATCTATGTGCTGGCTTTCTCAGAAGTGACTGTGAGCAAAGAGCACCTCATTTCCTCAGCACCCCTGCCAGAAGCTGGTGGCCAGGAGCAGGGGGGAAAGGGCTTGCAGAGAGGCGGCTTTGCTCCCTGCTGTGAGGAGAAGATGGGGGAAGGTGTCAGGGTAGTGTCTCCTTCCGTACTCACTGTTCTGAGGGAGCTGGAGGCAGGGCCACTGGATCCAGCAGCTTCCCTGCCTGCTGGATTTCCCCATTTGCACACACCCTGCGATGCCACGCAGTTAGTTACTGCTTTTCCTAGGTCTGTTGCTGCTTAAATGGACATGCAAACGCTATCTGCCAGGCTTTGTGTGGGGGCCTGGTGTAAAACTCCTTTTCCTCAGGCTATAAGTCACCTGGAAATCAGGGCTGAAGATTGAATGGGCTTTCCTTCCATCTTCCCTGACTTCAGTTAATAGTCCTTTTGCCTGAGGTATTTATTTTAAACTTCCCCTCTCTCTTGGGAAAGTGGGGCATGGGACATGATCCCTTCATCACCTTTCCTTGCATTTGCAGGCCTTGACGATGTCCCAAAGTCACTTCATTGGTGACTGTCCCCAATCTTTGTTGGGTGGCTGAGATCTGAAATCTCTGGGATTGCCCTGCTGAAGGTGAACCAGGCTTGGGGAAGCATTTTTTAAAAGTTATTTTGAAATGTATGCTGCATATATGTGCTGTGCAGAGAGGATCTGGATATTCTCAAAGCTTCCTGTATGTAGTGGTTTAAAGTGTAACCCCTTTGCACTAGCTGCCTTTGGAAAAGCCTGATGAAGAACTAGCGCCCAAACAACAGCCAGCTGCCATGCGTTAGAATTTTATATATATATATATATATATAAATCTTTTTGGTTTTTTAACACCACACAAAATCATCTCTGAGCTTCCTGCTCTCCCTCGCAACAGGTAAGTGCCAGAGCAAGGACTGGTTCTGAAGCCGCTCTGGCTTGGAGGAACAAGTATCTTGTAAGACCCAGAGCTTAAGACCAAGGAGGCCAAGGCGTCCGTGGTCTTGCAGGTCTGCTTGTGGTAGCTCAGGGCCCCAACAAACGTGTTGGTTCCAGGAGTAGGCCCTTGGAGCTGCTCTTTTTTTTCCCCTCTCCTTCCTTCCTTCCTTCCTTTTTGTTTACCATGTAACATACCCATGGGATTTGTTTATTATTTTTCCATATAGAGTAGTTCTTTGTATATAAATGACTGAAAAAAAAAATGTATGATAAATAAGACAGAGTCACCTAGTTTTGTACCTATCGTGTTTAACTGATGTGAGCTCAGCGACAAGCCGCTCTCTCTATTTTGGTCTTTGTGACGTTATACTCTGCAGAAATGAGCAAATATGATGACAAATAAAAATATAGAGATAATATAGATTGTACTTAAGCTGCCTCTGCGTGGTGCTGTCTGGGTGGCTTCTCTGAACCAATTTTTGGGTTTTGCTTGTTTTGGGGACCGAGGCTTAGTGGGTCAGTATGTCTTGTCTGCCTCATCCTCTTCTTGAGAGGAAAGCTTTATGCTGTCTGTGTGTGCAGGAGCTGACGGAGAAGCAGCCTGGGGCCAAGACATCACTGATGGCCCAAGGCAGGAGTGAAACAAACACATTTGTCAAAAACCTTGAGTAGAGATGAGTCCTGATTGTGGGTGCTGGGTGCGAAACACCTCTGGGAGAAGGGGGACTGCTTTTCCTGACACGGGCCCCAGCAAACAGCAGCTCTGGGCTTTTCTTCCATGAGTGCAGTTTGCAGGGGCAAGAGGGAACATGAATGTAAAACCCAGAACCACCAAGTGGCCAAGAGGCTGAGACCTGACCCATCCAGGCTTCAGGGGAACACGCTCATTGCTTCCATGGCTTTTGGAAGGGTGGCTTTTCCCCACAGGGAGGAGGTCAGGCTTCACCTCCTGGTAAGGTGCCTGACACACTTCCTTCCCCTTCTCCTGCCACCTGTGGATGCAAGCTCCCTGCTTTCCTCCTCGTTGTTCCTGAGGCAGGCGGTGAGGTCACCCAGCAGGGAAGTTTTTGGGTAGAGTTGACCTGACTGCACCTGCCTCTCCTCCCACACCAGGTTTGAGGGCAGCCTGGAAGGAATTTTTCTTGCAAAAATAATTTCCTTTCCTAGGAAAAGCTGATTTAGCAGAACCAGCGCTTTGGTGAGTGATGCTCAGCATTAAGCTTGGCTTACTGAGCTCTTTTTTTCTGGAGATTGTAAATCTGCATTCTAAAAAGTCACAAGCTTGAGTTTTGTGGTGCTTAGGGCCATAGTTTAGTGGTGGGATGGCAGGGTTAGGTTAACAGCTGGACTCAATGATCTTAAAGGTATTGTCCAACCTAAACTGTTCTATGGGCTGTCCCCCCATCCCATCTTTTGTGGGCACATTCTTGAACATGTCCTGCAGCAAAGCTAGAGGGAGCTAGAAAACCTGGTCTGAGATACCGCTCAGTCCTGGGGTTCAAGAATGACCACACTCTCACTGTGGAAAAAAAAAAAAAACCAAACTTGCTTTATTTGTAAAGTCTACAAAATACAGAGGAGTCAGGTAGGACACATACTGTAAGTCAGAAAATAAATAAGTATTTTTTTTTTGCTCTATATAAGATAAAATGTGATTTGCATATATAAAATATAAAGTACGGCTCTGTACCAACATCCTGGCTGTGCCGAGAGGCGGAATGGCAAAGAGGACGTGAAAATAACTTATGTTCGTGCAATAAATAAACCCAAGAGGAGTTGGGGAGGGGGGATGCTAACCACAGTGCCCCCTCCATGAGCAGCGGGCACCTCTCTCTCTGGGGAGGGATGGAGGCTTCAGCCGAGGGCGGCTGGCGTGGCAATACCAGGCAGGGGCGAAGGGGTTGGGGGGGATCATCTATGGCTGCAGATGCCAAGACAGGTCTGCAATCCTGTTACCTCCCCTGTGCTGCCTGTATTTAGCAAACCCAACTCTTCTCCAGAATTTCAGCCTGCTGAAGAGCCGGTTGTCCCACACAGGTCTCCAAGCTGGAGGAAAAACAAAGGGAGGAGCCTACCTGCCTGCCAGGCAGCTCCCTCACTTTCAGAGGCCAGGAGCACCTTTTCCTTGAGCTTTGTAGGCGGTGGGGAGCACTTGGTGGGGCTGCACAAGCCGGCCTGCACTGAGCAAAACAGTGTTTATCTCTGCTCCAGCTGCCTCCACTTCCTTCCTGCCGGTGCTGCTGTGTTTCGGCAACACCCGGCCGGGCTGAGCGTCCCATAGGCAGGAAGAGGCGTGAAGGATGTGCGTGATGGAGAAAGATAAAACAGCACCACTGCTTCTCCCCTTTGCATGCGACAGCCTGGCCTACCCAACCTGCTCACATCCCCCAGCTCTCCCACATCTGAGGGTCCTCCTCCATCACCGTCACCTCTGGGCTCCCCCAGCACTGCAGGCTCCCATGGTACTTTCCCATCCCGCTCACCCTTACCAGGCACCAACCCGCAGCCACTTTCTCTCCCCCTCTGACCTGCCACCTTCCCTTGCCATCTCCATCCCCAGAGGCTCCAGCCATGCTGCCGCCTCCCTCCCCACTCCAGCTGTGGTCCAAGTTGCCAATGCCAACCTCCCTCTCCATTGTACCCCTTCTTTCTGTCCCTCACCACAAAACCTCTCTCCTTGTTTTCCTCCCTGACGCACACTCCTGGGAGTGCCTGGTCCACACTCAGCTCTCCTGTACCCTTCCCAAAAAACAAAGAGGTGCCCGGTGTTTTCCTGCCAGCTTGGAGACATGGGATGCTTTCCCACGGTGCAGGCTCACCCTCTCCAGCCTGCACCCCCCAGGGTGAGGGGTGCCTGGTCAAGGGGGCTGCAGCAGGGGGAGAGGCCAGAGGGGAAGGGGCTGTGGGGCTTCAGGGGCCACCCATGGGGTCCTGTCCTCTGCCCCAGCGCCCACGCTGCAGCAGCTCTTCCTATGTGGAGGAGCTGGAGGTCAAGGGATGGGAGAAGGAGGATTTCAGGCACAGGTCCCAGTGGGAAGTAGATCAGGGAAGGTACGGGAAGGGATTTGTGGGGGAAGGCACCCCGGGGGGGCTGTGCCCGGCCGGGGGACAGAGGCCGACACTAGGAATAGGCGGCCTGGTTCGTGCTGGACTTGACAATGGTGATGACGCTGGCTGTGGCCACCTTGGCAGGGGGGCCGTGAGCAGCCACAGTGCGGGCAAAGCCCTGCAGGGCCTCGTACTTGCCCCGGAGGGTGTCGAGCTCCAGGCGCATGGCAGCATTCTCCCGGGCCAGCTTGTCCACCTCCCACTCCAGCTCCATCTTCTGCTTCTGCAGCTCTTCCTTCTGGCAGACACGCTTCACCCGGCAGCTGGCAGCGTAACCCCGGTTCTTCAGCGTCCGCCGGCGCTGCTTCAGCCTCGCCACCTCCTCCTTGGAGAGGCCCCGCAGGTGGTGGTTGAGCTCCCGCACCGACAGCCCCATCAGCTCCTCATCTGACAGCAGCGGCGTGTTCTCCCCCAACTCCCGCTTCACCTGCCAGAGAGAGGGGTGGTTGCCTGAGACCCCCAAAACCAGACCCCCTGCCCAACCCCTCAAGGTCCCACTGGTGCTCACCTTCAGGGCCTTGCTGGAGAGCCCGTCCGCAGCCATCCTTGCCTCACGCTGGCCCTGCCGAGCAGCCAGAAGAAAAGTTGGTTACTGCCTGCCCCTGTCCCTCACCCCGGCACAGAGGGCACCGGCCCTGCTGGCCTCTCGCCCGGTGGCCACGTCCCCCCCACCAGACTCATGACTCATCCCTACTCCTTTAAAAAAAACTATGTAGTAATGATAATAATAGTAATAATGACTGCAAAAAATAACAATAACGGGGGAAGGCTGGACCCCCCCATTGCTCCTTCATCCCGCCCCGAGGCGGTGGGGATGCTGCTCTTCCCCAGGGGACCCCAAACC